TGAAGGCAAATCGTGTTAATTTTTGGCATACAAGCTTTTTAGGGGTATTGAGAGGTGCTGAATCCATATATGTTGTATGCCAAGCTAAAAAATGCCCCATAATGCCTCAATGCAGAAATCCAAGATGGCCGCCAACACCAACTTGAAACATGAAAACTAGCATATCTCTTTCATTTATCAAGGTAGAAAGTTGAAAAAAGTATGCTTTCTTATGTTTTCACATATGGGGAATGAAATGAAATACTCAATTTCATGATTAAAACTGTAGAAAATTCTTGAATTGTACGTCTTTTGCCCAAAATTGTCATTTTAACAATAAATTTGTCGTTCAACTTATAATATCATGCTTAAGAAGGTTAATTTGGTATGACCTGCAATGACGTACACAATGCTTGTTGTCACTGCACGTAGATATATTATGGTCTTCGGTCAGTCAATACTATTAGACAACTTCGTTCTAAATTACAATATGACAATTTCCGAGAAGTAACTGATCGATTCACTAAAATACTCCAAATGGACTCACCTCAGCCAATCTTATGGCATAAGGACTGTCGATCTAGTTACATGAGTAAATCAAAAGTCAAAAGACTAGAGAATGCTGCATTGAGAGAAGCGAACAGCAAAAGTTCGTCTGGAACCTCCCCAAGTGTTCTTCTTCGAAGCAAAACATCTGCGATTGATTGGAAGAAGTGTTTCTTTTGTCAAAAAGACAAGAAAGAATCACTTCATCCAATACAAGAATCAAAAGTCAGCACCAGAACACTGGAAGCAACAAAGTATGATCAATGATTAAGAGTTCGACTGGCTCGTGTAAATGATCTTAGAGCTGCAGATGAAGCATATCACCGGACTTGTCTTGTCCTGTTTGAACGTAACACCAAGTGGATGGGACATGTGTCACCACAAATCACAAATGTGATCTTATTCTGGCTTTGTCAAGAACTTGAGCAATCAGCAAAACATGCTGATATCCTTGATCTCGTAGATGAATGGAACTGGAACTGCACAATAGCTAACAATGTCCAAATAGATATACCATCTTCATTTATAGCCCGGAGTAACACTTTTAAAGACAAACAAGCTGACCGTCTTGTGGGCATATATAATATTGTTGTATTGCACGATCGTGCTCGAAACGAACCTCATACTGTGTTGGTGCCATTCAAATTTCGGCATATTCCAATTTCTGAAATGGTAACAAAAGTTGCTACCAAAGGATATTAACAAAGTCATTCAATCATTCATACATGAGGATCAGGATACATTTCCGACCATTTGGACCTGCAGGTTCGTGGTGACATGGTTTCTCATCCCAAACCAAAAGGAATAGACATCAGCGAAGACAGAGTATTAGTGAGCATACCCAATAGTTTGTACATGTTTCTCAACTTGTTACTTGGTGGTCAGCTAATGGAGACAGGAGACGGGTTCTTGACCCCAAAACACATAGGATTGGCCAGTGCCCTTCACCAAGCAACAAGATCGAGAGAGCTAGTGAACATGTTTCACCAGGCAGGTCATCTTATGAGTTATCGTGATGGCATCAAACTTGACACTGCACTAGCCAAGAAGACATTAGAGACCATAGATGACACTGGGGCTGTTATGCCACTAAACCTAGCAAAGGACCGCTTTGTCCATTTCTCAGCAGACAACGTCGACATTAATGAGTACACTTTGGACGGTAAAGGAACATTCCATGCCACTTAGGTAGCTGCCTGGCAACGTGGTCCACCCGAAGAAGATCTCCTCAGTGGCATTGACATTTCTAAGACAGGAACCTTCGATATACCTGAAGTGATAACTGACACCATACCTGCACCAAGCAGAGGGATCACAGAGCGTCAACCCAGAGAAAATTACAGTGGGCTACCTACCCATCATACAGGCTCCTGCATCTGATCTGAATAACTTGAACACAGTTGTTAAGCGAATGATCCATGTAGCCAAGTCTATGGGACAACAGCATGTTGTTCTGACTGTGGACGAGGCCCTTTATCTGAAGCTGTTGGAACTGAAGTGGTCTGTAGAAGAGTATAAGAACGTGCTCATACCTTCACACTGCCATGAACTTTCTCAGTATAATTGGACGGCATATGAGCTGGTGCAGCTTGCCGAGCTATGGGTAGAATGTGATGTATTGGGAACCACTGCTGCCCAGCATGCCATGGCAGGAAAGGTATATGCACGTGCAATGCGAATGCACAATCTTACTTCTCAAGCTCTTTGGCAAATACTCCTCCCACGACTCCATGCCTACATGGACGAGGTGGACGCAGCTCTAACAACTGAGCATGCAGATCTGTCTACGTCCTTAGATACAAGTCACATCGCTGACATGGTTGAGAAACTGACTACTGACAGATTTCAGCAGCCATTGAAAGAATTCAGTGCAGGTCTTGCAGCTGATGACCCTAATGCTGCCTTCTGGTGGGACTACATGACTGTCGTCAGCTTACCACTTTGCTTCACAAGAGCACAATTTGATGGGTTAGGGGATGTCCACTTGTATGCTTTCAAACCTTTCGTCTTCAGGTACAATCATGTGAACTATGCCTGTATATCTGCCTGAAATGTCATGTCTCCCTGCAGTGCTCCGTGAGTTCCAGAACGGCAACTTTGTAGTCAAACGCACTGATCGACGCTTCAATTAAGTTTCAGCAGACCAAAGTCATGAGTGGCTGAACGCTACAGGGAAGAGGAGTGGAGGCTTAGTAGGCATCACAAGAATAACATCAGCCCTCAGCAGATGGACGTTGTCTTTTAATCTCAGAACGGTCATAGCTTCTTAGACAAAGGAAATGCTGAAAATGACGAAGGACGACGAAGACACAATGAGTACACACACATTGAGAGCGCAACAACTAGGATGAAGAAAGACGAATCTGATGAAAGCAAACTAGTTGTATCATTGAAACAACATGGTGTGTTTCAAAATGGTGGTGGCGCCTTGATAAACATCATCAACAAGGATGTGGCCACATCACTGATCCAACAATCTCTGCTTAGGGCAGAACACCTTGGACTGGAGCAAATGAAAGTCTTCGTGGACAAACGTCTGTGTGAGCCTGTTGATAATGACCAGCACCTGGACCTGCAATCGCCTATTCAGAAGAATAAGGCCAAGACATTTGCCTCTTTGTATGACGTAGTGCAAACTTCCAAGGGAAATCAAAGCACTATCAAAGTGGACCGGAATATTCTACAAATGTTCATTACAGCCTATAGAGCAGGGCGTGGGGTAAAGCTGGAAAACATCCTGCAGCATGAACTCATGACCGCCCAACTATCATTGGCCACAACTAGTGGTACCCTACATTCCACTAACAAGTCTGTGTTAGCCGGTATACTGACGCAAGAAGTTCAAACATCTGCTAATGTCACACTTGATGAGTCCAGCTGCCTGCTCATTGATGCCAAGCCCTAGTGATGGCACTCGGAAAGCCGCCTGACATTTGAACGTTTGGTGACTACTCCAGAACCTTTGCAAACACCGTGTTCAAGATGGAAGCAAATTATCACAGAATTGGCATAGTATTTGACAGGTATCATGTTGATTCCAAACAAATAGTGTGTGGGTCAGTTTCTCCCATCAGACTGGTCTAGATTTATTGCACTTGAGGAAAATAAAGCAGATCTTGCTGTACTACTGTCAAACCATCTTACAGAACACAGCCCAACAGACAAACCCGTACTAGCAGGGTGTGTGTGTGTGTGTGTGTGTGTGTGTGTGTGTGTTTCACTGAGGCCGCTACAGTCAAGTCGTCTGATACACTACTTGCTTTCCATGCCATCACTGGATGTGATAGTGTGTCTCCGTTCAGTGGCCACAGTAAGAAAACAGCATGGAAGGTCTTCCAGCAACACCATACTGATCCTTTCACTGTAAACCTAGCTAGATCAACAGAGAGGTTCATCTGTAAAATATATGGTGTGCCTGAGGTCGTTACATGCAACAAAGCACGTGTTAAATTGTTTTGTCTTGGCAGTGTACAAGAGACTCTGCCACCAACCTCTGACGCAGCAAGGTTCCACATCATGCGTTCCCACTACCAATCAAGTATCTGGAACCAAGCACACTGCCTATATCCAGATCTTCCTCCAGTGGCTGAAATGGGGTGGGTTCACCAAGACGGTCAGTTAGTGCCACGGCTACTCTCGCTGCCACCTATCCCAAAAGCTTGCAGGGAGATCACATCATGCAGTTGTATGAAAGGATGCCTCAGCCAATGCAATGCATCGAGGCTTGCAACTGTTGGAAACTTAACAACAACTGCCAGAACACCAGATATGAATGGGAACATGCGAATGCTTACAACCTTTACGGTGTATACTGCTCATTCTTTCAATTGCCGTGATTCCGCAAATAAACAATAAAAAAAATTCATTGTTCTTAAAACACTTACCTTGAGTTGTGTCATTGTTAGTTGTAAGTGCCCTGTTATACTGAGTCAAAATTCATACTGCATCCATAATATGTCGCCCTTGGTTTTGACATGTTTAAACAAATGGGAATTAAATAAAATGGGATGGAGAAGGACGGGATTTTTTTTGTCCATCTGAATATTCAAAATTCATTTATTGTTCAAAAAGGTAAATTTTGCAGTAGGTATGCAAATGAATCAGTTTCTTCCAATACAATCACAATAGTGAGTATTGCATTGCATTCCCCATATGTGAAAACATTCAAAAAAGCATTTTTCAACTTTCTAACTTGATTAATGAAAGTGATATGTTAGTTTTCTGGTTTCAGTCTGCCGTTGGCGGCCATCTTGGATTTCTGCATTTTGAGGCATTATGGGGCATTTTTGAGCTTGGCATACAGCATGTTTGGATTCAGCGCCCCTCAATACTCCTAAAAACCTTGTATGCCAAAAATTAACACGATTTGCCTTAAGCGACTTAAATAAGCACTTTTTTCCCAAAAGCTAAAGAGGCTTGTCGAGGAGTGACCACTCCCCGTCTTCTATTCTCCCTGGTTATGTTGTTTGTTTCAGACTGTGATGATGGCTTCACTTCTGGACACTACAACAACACGAAAGACGTATTTACCATTCACCCCACTGCATCCACATACCCGTTTCAGGTGCGTATCTAGGGAGGGAGAGAGTGAAATAGGTTGGTGGTGAGTGAGTGAGCTGGGGTGGTGAGTGATGAGTGAGTGAGTGAGCTGTGATGGTGCGTGGTGAGTGAGTGAGCTGGGATTGTAGGTGGTGAGTGAGTGAGCTGGGTTGGTGAGTGGTGAGTGAGTGAGCTGGGATTGTAGGTGGTGAGTGAGTGAGTGTGCTGGGTTGGTGCGTGGTGAGTGGTGAGTGAGCTGGATTAGTGGGTGGAAGGGTGAGTGTGTTGTCAGTCGGTCGATGGAGTGAGTTTTGGCATGAAACAATATGACTGCACCAGGTCAGCATTACATCACACAGTTGTTTCAACCGGTATCGGTAATATACCTCCCGAAGGTCTTGAAACATTTTAAACAACGTTAGAAAGAATATAGGTTTTCAGAAACAGGACCCGCTGGGTGACTTGACTCAGTGCATGTACTCGTGTGCGTTGTTGATGATGTCAGTCACCACACTCGATTATTTATTTACCACGGTAACTCACAGGCCCTGTCTTTTGTTTCTCAGACATACACCCGTAAAGATCCGGGTTAGAATTGGTCTTCACCAACCCATCCTTGTCGTAAGAGGCGACTAACGGGATCGGGTTGGCACATGTCATCGTATCCCAGTTGCGTAGATCGATGCTCATGCTGTTGATCACTGGACTGTCTGGTCCAGACTCGATTATTTACAGACCGCCCCCATATAGCTGAGTGCGGCGTAAAACTAAACTCACTCAGAAATACCCTTAATCCATTCAATTTATATACACTAAGTTTCCTTTTGGACGATAAGGGGAGCTGGTGTATGTTCGCTTTGGACGCCCGACGCGTCCTCTGTCGTGATAGTGCAGCCATACTAAAAATGGTGACTAAACTAGTTTATACATAGTCGTGAGGATGTGATGTCAACAATAGAAAAATGTTGTGAATAATGTTACTTCAATTACACCCGTGGCTATTCACAAGCTGTTTTTTACCGGACAGAGAGTGAGTGAGTTAATATTTAACGTCACATCGGCAATATCTCAGCCATATCGTGACGAACAAAGAGAGAATGATAGTAGAGAATGATGAAGTCAGCCGCGGATGTTGCAAGATATAACTATTACTTAAGTTTTTCTCTCTAAACGTGTCATCCACTAATGACTAAAAAAAGAGACCACCTCCGTGGTGTAGTGGTTAGAGCGTACCCCCGGAGAGCGGAAGGTCGCGCGTTCGATCCCCAGCTGCGTCATACCAAATGACGTTAAAATATGATACTTGTTGGTCCCTGCCTGGCGCTCGGCATTAATGGGTACAACAAGGACTGGTCGGCTCGGAGTCAGTATAATGTGTCTGAGTGGGGTATTCATGCTTCACTGCGGCATGGTATCTCAGTGAGCTGCACTATAAAACCAGCTTAAGTCTGGGCTAGTACAAGCAGCCACACATACACATGCATGCACGTCGTCTCATGAGAGAAATATTCTGAAGTACGACGTTAAGCCCCATTTCACCTCACCTCAGCACTAAAAAAGGTATGTAATCAGTGGACACATGCAGGTGCAGAACCTCTCTCAAACAAGAGATCATCAACGTTTTAATCCGATTTGCTACTGAAACTCCAATGTTCACTTCCTGACAGGTGCGGGGCGGTGGGGTAGCCTAGTGGTTAAAGCGTTGGCTCGTCACGCCGAAGACCCGGGTTCGATTCCCCACATGGGCACAATGTGTGAAGCCCATTTCTGGTGTCCCCCGCCGTGATATTGCTGGAATATTGCTAAAAGCGGCGTAAAACTAAACTCAGTCAGTCAGTCAGTCCTGACAGGTGCATATGGAGTGGTAGGTGTATGTGAATCAGCTTAGCGTGATAACTTTTATATCGCTTTTTTATGGACCACAAACAACATTATGGACCGAGAACAAAGACCGTGGTCGATAGTGGGTTTTGTATTGGTTGTAATAAAAGTGGCATTGACCTTATATAATGTCTATAAATTGTTTACAATATACTGTTGATACAAAAGAAGGTTCAGCATATCAAACGATGTTTTCCTGGATTAAAGTAAGTCTTTTCCAACAAATGGAAGCGACTGATTTGCAGGCTTGGGGAATATTCTGAATGATATTTTGAGGAACGCAAGAGAATAAGGTTCATTATCAGACTGGTGTAAATATCTAACGAAAGACTTCGTCACGCCGAAGGTCCGTGTTTGAATTCCCGACATGGTTACAATGCACTTTGTTTGTTATTTTATTTCTTTGTTGTTTATCGCCGCACTCAGCAATATTCCAGCTATATGGCATCGATCTGTAAATACTCGAGTCCGAGTCAGACAATCCACAGCATCAGCATCGATCTACGCAATTGGGAAGCGATGACATGTGTCAACCAAGTCAACGGTTCTGACCACCCGATGCTGTTCGTCGCCTCTTACGACAAGCATGGGTTTGTGAAGACCAATTCTTACGGATCTTCACGGATGATCAGTGTATCGTTTGTAATGAGATGGTATAATTTCCTGTAATACATTTCAGGTTTATTGTGAAATGGTGTATGGAGGCGTGTTGTTCCTCCTCCGACGAGCAATCAGCGCTCCCTACGTCAACTTCAGCCGAGGCTGGAACGACTACAGAGACGGGTTCGGTAACTTGTCTGAGAATAGCAACTTCTGGCTAGGGAATGAAAAGGTTCATCTGATCACTACAAGCAGAGACCATGCACTTGGCATCGAAGGCATTATGGCTGAACCCCCAGAAATAAACCAGTGGAACTACAGGCAACACTACTATCATATGTTTAAGGTGAATTAGACTGACTGACTGACTGAGTTTGGTTTTACGCCGCTTTTAGCAATATTCCAGCAATATCACGGCGGGGGACACCAGAAATGGGCTTCACTCATTGTACCCATGTGGGGATTCGAACCCGGGTCTTCGGCGTGACGAGCCAACGCTTTAACCACTAGACTACCCCACCGCCCCTAAGGTGAATTAGAGACAGACACGGCAACTAAACTGACGCACAAAAGAAAGTACTTACCTGGCTTGGGATCATTTAGTCCTGCATATAACTAGACGACTTTGCACTATACCAAGGTGTGCTCGACGTCTGGCCGGCGAATTCAAGTTCTTTGACGCACTTCACTAGGCAGAGAGGCACAACGGATTTAGGCATAAACGAGGGTAGAAACTCAACCTATCGACTAATACATGTGCATGGATTGATAAAACTTTCATTCATCTTCAAAACGAAACACTTACCTCCTCTAAAAATGGCTCATTTTATTACTTAAATGACCTGAAACATAGAGACCCCACCTACTCTCCACCATTTGTCGGCCATACTGTTATGGTAATTAGCGGTTAAATAAAAAGTGTAAACGCATTAAAACGTATTTAGTAACAAATAGAAACTGCTAGAAGTTCGTCTCCTTCCTCCGACTTCAGAGCGTCATGTAATCTCGGTCCGTTTAATACGATTCCTTTTTTTGATACAACTGCTAATGACCATAATCAAAATGGTCGACAAATGGTGGAAAGTTGGTGGGGGTCTTTATGTTTCAGGTCATTTAGTAATAAAGTGAGTCAATTTTAGTGGAGGTAAGTGTCTCGTTTTCAAGACGATTGTTTGTGTTAGTAATGCATGCACATGCATTTGTCGATAGGTTGAGTCTTCATTCTTGTTTTTGCCTAAAACTGTTCCGCTCATATTTCTTGCGGAAAGGTGCGTTAAAGGAAATGCACTCGCCGTATAAACTCGATGTAGGCCTTCATATGAACTAGGGATAATTGAAATAAGTACATGTTTTTGAAAAGTATTTTGATTGTGACTTGCAACTCACAAACAATGTGTGAAGATATATGCTGAAAGTGGTGTAAAACTAAACTCACTCACACACGAAACGCGGCGTAAAACAAAACTCAATCTTCTTGTAGGTATATCTGTTACGGAGAAGCGCGAGTGCATGGTTAGTAGTGACCATTGAATTTGTAAACTCAATTCTTTTCCGGGTATTCTGAACGTATACTTCGTGTTTTCTTATTTCCCAAACCATGTTCCCGCTATCCTGAAATACTCTTTTGCAGGTATCTTCCGAAAGTAATGGGTATCGCTTCTCCATGACCTACCACTATCCGAAGGCAGATGACCACTTTCTCGATGACTGCATGTCAAATCTGGAGGGAATTCCATTTTCCACCATTGACAACGACAGTTCCGACGGAAGTTGCGCAGGCGCATACATGTCAGGGTGGTGGTTTAAGAATTGCTCGTTGTGTAACCCGACAGGGGTAATACAACCTATTTCCGACACTGTTATGTCTGCAGATCCGATATACATGACTTGGCCAGTGCCAACAAACATGCGTGCGAGGTACCTACGTATGTTTTTGAAATATAAAGTTGGATAACAATTTTGTCTTGTTTCAGTTCGATTATTTAATTCATTGGACGGGCCTAAAATCTTAATATTACGGAGAAAGTCTGTTTAGAAATTTGCACAATTGTCCAAGGGCATGTGATAAAACAGAGCGCTGTGTCGGAATGATTGAACTTTTACTTTTAATGTATTCGTTAGCGTTGATATTTGTATTGACATCAATGAACGCCCAAGTCGCAGTTGCACCTTTGAAGCTTTCCCTACGTTGATAATAAACGGCTTATGATAATATTTACATATATAACGCTTAGTATATCAGAGGTTTGCAGTAGAGACTATTCTGAACCAAGTTTTCTTCAATACATCTGTGTAAACATTTGACGACGGCTCTTGACTGGAGGAATGATTGGTAAAGAACAGATCTTGTACTTTATATAGAATCTGAACCAGAGTTAGACCTCTACTTCTCTTAGATTTCTTGGTTCGCCAATGGTAAATTTAATGCCAATGTCGTAGCTATCTGCTACCTTTTATTACCGCATATGATGTGAAATTAAACACTGATCTTTTGATATACATTGACCAATGGCTTAGTAAATTCACATTCATCCCAAAGGTCAATGCTAACTGTTGCGTAGAGGTGGTGGGGTATGCAAATACAGTTTAACACCTCTTCTACCAATATTCTAGTTCTATCACTGCGGAGAGAATCGAACCTAGGTCTTCGACATGGCGAGCGAACACTATAAGCGCTAGGCTATCCCATATATATAGAGAGAGAGAGAGAGAGAGAGAGAGAGAGAGAGAGAGAGAGAGAGAGAGAGAGAGAGAGAGAGAGAGAGAGAGAGAGAGAGAGAGAGAGAGAGAGAGAGAGAGAGAGAGAGAGAGAGAGAGAGAGAGCTTGGCTATCCCATAGATAGAGAGAGAGAGCGAGCGAACGCTTTAAGCGCTAGGCTATCCCATAGATAGATAGAGAGGTCAATCGACCGGGGTTTCTGTGCTCACATTGCTGTGTAGGCCTACGACTATTAATACGTATTGATTGAAGTTGCGATGAGTCACACTCACGTTCTTACTCAATGATCGTAAAGATAAGTATTCATTATCCCACGTCACAAAGTAGGGCCTGGTATATAGGGCCAGGGTTCGTCCGGCCATCCTGCCGTATGTCAGCTTACCCTGTTACAATATTCCAATGTTCTGCACTGGTGACGATGCCAAATGACAGTTGGTGTCGTAAAATCAATTTTGACGGGGCTATCCCTTTAGTGGCCGTACGTTACAAGCAATAAAGTGTGCAAGGTTATCTGAGGGATACAATAAATTATATCATACAGAGTTAGGTCATTTGCTACATGTTGTTTGATCTTATGCACACACTTCCGGCCCTTGGTCCACGTTTTAATGCACAGCGTCTGCATTGGGCGACTTTTCTCAGAAAGTACAGAAGAGAAGGGGCCTTATGTGTATATATACTCATGGAAACGAACAAGGGAACACATTAGAGTACAAGTATTCCACTTGTACTTTCATGTGTTCCCTTATTCGTTTCCATGAGTATATTAAAAATTCAATCACATTTTCTCAAGGCAGGCCTATCACATCTTAAGGTTTTCAAGGACATTTCTATGTAGACATTTTCTTCCATTTTATTCGCTACGCTATGAATAACAAACTTCTAATGTGTCCCACGGCAGGGAATAGTCTTAACACCGTTATCTTCTTTGAAATTTTTTGGATTTGCAAGTGTAAGGTAACTGCTGTATATGGTACACAATAAAACCAGAGTTAAAAGACATTTTGTTTTGTTTTTTGAAACCTCCAAGCTCTATGGGTAACAACTTATTTTATTTCGTGAATGCGACGTTATTGGAAGTGCGACGAAATAAAAGTAATTGTTATCCATAATGCTGGTCGATATTGTACTCCCCAACTTCTAAAATGCCACTCACAGAAATAACCACCAGTTCATTCCTATGTCCACAACAATGCTGAAACAGGGTTGTCTAACAACATGTGTCCACAACAATGCTGAAACAGGGTTGTCTAGCAACATGTGTCCACAACAATGCTTAAAACAGGGTTGTCTAACAACATGTGTCCACAACAATGCTGAAACAGGGTTGTCTAACAACATGTGTCCACAACAATGCTGAAACAGGGTTGTCTAACAACATGTGTCCACAACAATGCTGAAACAGGGTTGTCTCTAACAACAAACATGTGTGTGTCCACAACAATGCTGAAACAGGGTTGTCTAACAACATGTGTCCACAACAATGCTGAAACAGGGTTGTCTAACAACATGTGTCCACAACAATGCTGAAACAGGGTTGTCTAACAACATGTGTCCACAACAATGCTGAAACAGGGTTGTCTAACAACATGTGTCAAGTATTCAGCATCCTTCATAAAGTATCTGTGAAGTTAATAGTCACAACTAATGACGTGTTAATATTTGATCACTAGTAAGATATTTACACACAAAGAAAGAAGTTTAATAGAGGATACTAGTTGTATAACGTAAATGTAAAGAAATTTAGAGTGGCTAAGTCGGCCCGATTTAAATGCAGCTCTCATAATCTCCTTGTTTAATATGGTAGACACTGTGGAATCTAGATTAAAGATAGGAATTGTCATCTGTGTAGTTTAATAATTTAGAAGATTAAAATAACCTTTTACTTGTCCATGGTGTGTCAGTATGAGAAAACAATTCATTAGAGGTTGTTTTTCAAGCGTCCACGCTTTTACTTACCAATGAAAACGAATACCACTGTCTCAAATTTGTCTATATTCTATCCATGCTGTGTGTTTTGGAAAGCATGCACTTACTTCACGACTTCATTTACTGCAGCAGTTATCATGGTATTGATCTATACTCTGTTGTCTAAAGGTAACCTGCTCTTCTTTGTAATCATGTGCAATATGCCTTTGGCTTTCTGAAAAAAGATATTTAGAAATTATAAAGACGGATCGACAACTTTATACATTTCTAAAGCTAGTTCCCCAAATAAACAGAAACTTTAATTGTGTATTGTTGTTATTTAAAGATACGTGCAAACCTTCAACAAAATCAAAACTTCAACAAAATCTAAACACAAGCAATTTGTTCGTGTCTTTTAAGATAAGTGAAATGTGACGAACTCGCAACGTAGAAATGACGTCAGCGACAGTTCCGGGTCACACACGTGTCAACGAAGCGACTTCTGGGAAACTGCGCCTTTGTTGTGGCAGATGTTGTAAGTTTGCGGAAGTTGGGAATGTTGACCTCAGTACGAGTTAGTTCATACAGCGTGACTCGTGAACATCCGGGTTAGAATTGGTCTTCAGCAACCCATGATTGTCGTGTGATTCGACTAACGGTATAGGGTGATCAGGCTGGCTGACTTGGTTGACACAAGTCATCGTATCCAGTTGCGTAGATCGATGCTCATGCTGTTGATCATTGGATTGTCTGGCCCAGACTCGATACTTTACAGACCACCGCCACATAGCTGGAATATTGCTGAGTGCGGCGTTAAACAACAAAGAAACAAACAAACCAATCCTCCTACCGGGTACTCATTGATGGTCTGGCCCAGAGTGCGGCGTTAAACAACAAACAAACAAAAACTCATACAGAGTGGGTAGTATTGTTTAATTTAATCCAATAACTACTCGACCACTCAGTGACTGGTACAGTAATCAACGTTCCATGACGTCAGGGTACGATGACGCGCAATCGGTCATCCAGCCCGACCTTCCGATCCAGTAATTCGTCTCTTACGACCAGCAAAGGTTGTGTGAATAAAGGCGACTATACAAAAGCTGAGAGCGAATGGTTGAGTGAGTGAGTGTTATTTGATGACACATTCAGCAACATCACACCAGTGACGAGTTTCGGACAGTTTGGCCAGTAGCCTTCCACAAAGCAATTTGACATAGAAAGTCATGTTGTCATGGCAAGCTGACACACACTTGGCTCGTGAATGTATGTTTACTTAATGACACACTGTATATTAAAGGAAAATATAATATGTTGGCATGTACTGAAAACGTACGGACTTAAGTATCGTAAAATTGGTAAGTTTGGTTTTACGCCGCTTTTAGCAATATCCCATCAGTATCACGGCGGGGGACTCCAGAAATGGGCTTCACACAATGTACCCATATGGGGAATCGAACCCGTGTCATCGGGTGACGAGCGAACGCTTTAACCACTAGGTTACCCCTTAAATTGGTGACCACCGCCTCCGTGGTGTAGTGGTTAGAGCGTCCGCCCGGAGAGCGGCAGGTCGCAGGTTCGATCCCCGACCACGTCATACCAAAAGACGTTAAAATATGGTATTTGTTGGTCCCTGCCGGGCGCTCGGCATTAATGGGTACAACAAGGACTGGTCGGCTCGGAGTCAGTATAATGTGTCTGAGTGGGGTATTCATGCTTCACTGCAGCATGGTATCTCAGTGGGCTAGCACTATAAAACCAGCTTAAGTCTAGGCTAGTACAAGCAGCCACACATACACATACACACGCATGCACGTCGTCATATGAGCGAAATATTCTCTAGCACGACGTAAAACCCAATTTCAGCTCACCTCACCTTAAATTGGTGAGTTGGGGTTAACCCCACTATGAACAGTATTTCCTTAAAACAAAATCACGTCATCCAGAGAGTGGGTGTTGAATGCTTACACACACATTTTTCACTTATAGTTTGGCATGAAATGCATGTGGACCGGTTTTTTTTGTAAATATCTCTTCATCCAATAACCCAATCGATCTCAAACTGTGCAAGTGGATGTTTTGTCAGACAACCTAATCACATTGTAAATCATCGATTTTATGCATTTGTATTAAAGAATCTGTCTATGTAACTGTCAACAAAATAAACAGCAGAACGCAGAATGCTTTCAGAGGGAGGGAGCCAATGACCTGTAACAGCGGCAGTGTTGGGTCATAAAGGTCAATGCATGTGCAGTTCATGATAGTTACCTGTGCACTGCACAGTGATAGACCGTTTGGATCATTCACATTGACTACTTCTAGCTGTCATCATGAAAGCTTATTCAGATTATGCTAAACGTTTCATTAGAAATGTGTTGAATTTTTTTTTAAAAAGAGAGTAAACGTAGCAAACCGATTTATAAGGTGTCGGATTACATGAAACGTACAACCTTTGCTCTTGGCATGAAAAAGAACATCGTGCTAAAAATTGTGAAAAATAAACCAACAACCAATAAACAAAACATTGTACAAAAAGGTAGGCATCCAAAGTTAGATTCTTTTGACATCAGGGTCATCAGAGATGTCATTCTCCGGCTATTTGCAAAATTTAAAGATTTTAACCTACAGAATAATTCTCACTAATTATGGTTAATGTTGAACAACTCAGAGAAACAAACTCCGTATGATGGTTAACAGTTGGCACCCACCTTACCCTATTCACGACCTGTGACACCTCTTCATACCTGTCACGTGCATAGCTGACCTACATTGACGAACGTTGACCTGTATGACCCAACACTGCCGCTGTTACAGGTCATTGGCTCCCTCCCTCTGAAAGCATTCTGCGTTCTGCTGTTTATTTTGTTGACAGTTACATAGACAGATTCTTTAATACAAATGCATAAAATCGGTGATTTACAATGTGATTAGGTTGTCTGACAAAACATCCACTTGCACAGTTTGAGATAGATTGGGTCATTGGATGAAGAGATATTTACAAAAAAACGGGTCCACATGCATTTCATGCCAAACTATAGTGACGTAGCTAATATGCACGCACGCACGCACGCACGCACGCACACATGCACATGAAGGTTCCTTTCCCACAAGACTAAGGGTCGCACGGAAAATAAACACTAATTAGACGACTATGCAACCCCTTTATCAATTAAAAAGAACAGGAAGTTTCGAAATGTTGCAAATTGTTATACATGTAATTATATATATGTATTGTTATTATCATCATTGTACAAAATAGATCACATGACAACACACACACGCACGCAACCACGTACGCACGCACGCTTACTCTTGTATGAACAGCGTCATTCGGGATTGGGCAAGTTGTTTACACAGGATACAGCTGTGACGTTATCACCCGGACAGAATATAAGGATGGGTTGCTCGCATGTTTATCAGCATTAAACATACTGCATTTCTGCTGTCAAGCTGAATAGTCAACTAGTTTGTAAGTATGCACCATTTCATAGTCTGGTAAAAGTTTTAAGATTCTTTCAAATCTTTCGAAAATGTCTTTATTACATGGATTAAAGCATTGCTAATCGATGTTACTTCCAAATAAATGAATGCGTTTGTTTCTTCGCAATTCCTGTTGATAGTTGTTTATGTCTGTTTGTATCATGTAGGGTTCATAGGATTCATCTGGAACTTGTATTTTCACTTCTTTAAGGGGGCGGTGGGGTAGCCTAGTGGTTAAAGCGTTGGTTAGTCACGCCGAAGACCCGGGTTCGATTCCCCACATGGGCACAATGTGTTAAGCCCATTTCTGGTGTCCCCCGCCGTGATATTGCTGGAATATTGCTAAAAGCGGCGTAAAACTAAACTCAGTCAGTCAGTCAGTCACTTCTTTAGGTTAAAGATTTACACAATACACCGTTATAAGGAGACGAACAGATTTTAGGGATAGACATTTTGTTTACTGCAGTATATGTGACGTTCCGCTGTAGATCCTAACGCTGTTATCAAGCTCGTCGTATCTGTTCCAATAAAGACATTGTCAGTTCACACAATGTGTTCCTCATCATCATACCAGATTCTATATGCCACTTGAAAAGATGGAAATATACTGTCTTCTCCAACATATATCAGTCAGATTATGATTCTTGGTCTGTCATGCCGTGCACGTATATGACCACCATATAGCTGGAATATTGCCGAGTGCGGAGTAAAACTAAACTCGTGGTCGTATAGGTTTTTAACTATACGTTTATAACAGATCGTACCCAAATTGCGTAGATCAATGCCCATGCTGTTGATGACTTGAGTGCCTGGTCCAGACACGATTATTTACAAACCTGCTCCATATACAGCTGAAATATTGCTGTGTGCGGCGTAAAACTAAACTCACTCACTCATTTATAAGTGACGTTTTGTTTTAGATGTGACATGCGTCAATAGGATTTTATTCTAAGGGAAACCAGCAGGCGTCCTGAAATACTGTGTAAATACCCGTTTAACATATCTTACTCATGCACCACTTTCGTCTTTTGCTTACAGGCCTAAAATGAACACACAGGCTAAAGTTCTTGTCTTGGTTCTGATTGTGACTTTAGTTAGTCAAGGTAAGTTCCTCAGAAACAACAGTTATTGATGGGTGGGAGGTGTGTGTGTCATGTTGACAAGTGTAGGCTACTTGTGTAGTTTTTAGCCTAGATGATGATTTTTGTTAAGGTGCAAGTGTTCTGCACGTAACAATATTGCCACGTAGTTAAACCACGCAATTAACAAAACGTACTGATATGTGTTATATTCAATTGTTTCATCGTCTGTTTAGGTTTGTCTCAGTCTAGAGTCCGCGAAACTTGCGGTGGACGATTTTGCAGTGATGACGAGGCCGACTGCTACTGGTCATGTCGTCACGAATGCTATGGCGACGGCGCATGCGCAAGAGATGCAGAATATGGCAAATATGTTTGCGATTGCTACGATTAGTGTTCATGCATTCTTTGAGGCACCATTCACCAGAGTAAAAGATTGTACTGTTAATTTTTGTGTGTATAAAAAAATAAACATTTCTGTTTGAATCAGCGTTATTTCAAGTATCTATACACCGTTTATCAGTGAGTGAATTAAACTGTGTAGACAAACATCCCTTTCAGGCAGAGATGTTTTAAGACATAATGTGTAGGCGTCAAATGCTGAAGATCCCTGGACCCTATTTTACAGAGGGGGAGTCGGGTAGGCTAGTGGTTAAAGCGTTCGCACGGACCCGGGTTCGATTCCCCACATGGGTACAACGTGTGGAGTCCATTTCTGGTGTCCAACGGAATAGTACTAAAAACGGCGTAAAAATACACTCTCTCACACACACGCTCGCACGCACCCCCCCACTCACTCGGACCCTCTTGGGAATTCCGAGTTAACATATATATCCACAAGTCAGTGCTGGTTGTATGAGGCCACTGAATGGATTGGGTGGTCAAGCACGTGTCATGGTTTATTGCATTGTACTAACGTAATTTGCACTTGGACTTTCAACTAGCCGGTTGATCTGTCCCCGATTTCTCGAAACAAACTTAAGTTAGTACTCAGATTTAAACTGAATTTCTAACTCAACTGCCTTTCTAAAATCAAAAAGACCAAACTAAAATTGTCTACCAGGTTTGAGTGTAATATTGATTTCGATATATTCTGGGAAATGCAATTTCCTGCGTTTTCTCAAATTTCAGTAAAAACTCAAACGTAATTCAAAACACAGACTTAAGTTTGTTTCGAGAAATCGGGGCATGGACTCACTGCATTTACTGAGATTCACAAATAGGACTTACATGCATCATGGGTAATTATTGTAACCCTGGGATGTAGAACTGTCAGTTTATGTTTTGAATATGTTCCTAGTAGATGTCTCGGTATAAGAATGTGATGTGAGGGAAATGTTTGGGTCATTGCATAGATATAATGCAACAGTTTTAGACCATCCAGATTGTCCAACGGGCAGTGTCGTCTCTTTGTGAAATCTCGGGAAATCCTGTTTTTGAATTTTGAATTGTTTTCTGAAATTGATTACTTTTTCAGTCAGCCAAAAGCCTTATTCCTCTACCCACCAGCTACTACTGAATATCACCTGGTCTGTTCCTCAATATCCTCTGTGATGCAGGTGTCTTGTAGCTTACGTCACATATATACATTGTACGTCATAACCCTACATGGGTCTAATGAATGAAAGCCCTTTTTTGACTATTTCTGGCCTTGGAGTTTGGATTATATCATAGTCTATAATGTAGTATATCATGATATATGTTGTAGTATATCATAGAACGATATTATTGTTCAATTTTATCACTTTATAACGCACAAGTGCATAGCTCAGGAAATTGGTAATAATTATTATGTTTGGTTATTGAAATTAATTGCAACCTCGAGAAGCGTCAGTAAAATGCAAGGCACGTTGCTTCTATTCCGACAAAGAAGGGCTAAGTACTTTAGTGCATGGTTTGAAGTGCGTATGGTAAAGTTGATCAACTCATAAAATATTTTGTGTAAATGTAGATGCTGTGTGCTTAAGTCAGCCTGGAATATATGTTTGTGAAGTGGGGACGGGGTTGAATGTGGAGAGTGTGACATGGTGTGGTGGAATGTGGAGTGTGATAGGGTGGGTTGGTGTTTCCTTAGTGTTCAGAGACAACGTGTATTCAGTCAGAAAGGAGTGAGTTTAGTTTTACGCCGCTTTTAGCAATATTCCAGCAACATCACGGCGAGAGACACCAGAAATGGGCTTCACGCATTGTACCCATGTGGGGAATCGAAACCTTGTCTTCGGCGTGACGAGCGAACGCTTTCACCACTGGGCTACCCCGCCTCCCCTCAGCCAGGAAGGGCTGTGTCGGTGTTGTTAAATGGTTTGGTAGACAGAAACTATGATGTATTCCATCATGTATTATTCAGTAGTGAACAGTTACCTTTTCTTCCAAGCAATAAAACAAGTCGGCTTAAACCCTGGTAGGTCGATTTAGTGGACCGGTAAATACCTTGCCAACTTGAAATCCTCAAAGACTTCAATAAACTTGCAAGTGGATACTTAAAAGTTAGCTCGGAGCTCTTAGCCTCTGGCATGGTAATGGTGTAGAGAAGTCAGGGATTATAATCGGGGCTGATTATAGCAAGAAGGATGTTGACACGGCAAGGGGCGCAACTCTGCATGTAACGACCATGTCTGATGTCTCCACCCTTCACCTCCGGTAACGGTGAAACTGTGGAGTTGTAACGTTCACAAATTACCAATCTATACAACTTCATTTTTTGTGGATGTGAACTTGGAAATGTGAAACAGGGGATCATTATCATGTTGTCCAATACATCTCACCAGCTGGTAGGCAATGCTTGTAAAGTTTTGTATAATATGCAACACGATTAAATGATGTTCTGATAATATTCATATTGGAAAAAATATTCATATGAAAGAAATAATAATTGGTATTCAACGGAAAATGCCATGCCACATACATATGCACGTAACAGACACACACATATACGCACATACACACAGACACGCTTCCATGAAATAACGAGCTCGGACATTTCTCAAAAGAGAAGAACGATGGGAGTTCGAGGAAAGAGGGGGTGATGGTTGAGGTTTCAGTAAAACAAAACAAACGCCAAGTAGATATACGCGTAAATAAGATGGGATAGAATTTGCGTTTCAAATTATGATGCAACCATTGTTATCTCTGTCATCTCTATTATGTCATCGAAGTGATTGAGTTTGGTTTTACGCCGCATATAACTATCTTCCGGCAATATCACGGCAGGGGACACCAGAAATGGGCTTCACATATTGTATTCGAACCGGGTCTTTGGCTTTAATCACTAGACAGCCCCAATATGATTTCCGAAATATGTTAATTTTCTAATCAAATAAGGGGGCGGTGGGGTAGCCAAGTGGTTAAAGCGTCCGCTCGTCACGACAAGGCCCGGGTTCGATTCCCCCACATGGGTACAATATGTGAAGCCCATTTCTGGTGTCCTCCGCCGTGATATTGCTGGAATATTGCTAAAAAGCGGCGTAAAACCATACTCACTCACTCACTCACTCACTCACTCACTAATCAAATAAGTATATAATTCTGACCAGCATATCATTCACTTCATGCCGTATATATACAACAATGTCTGTTAAATCGATATAAGCCATAAAGCCTGAGTGATATTTGTATACCATCATTTTCCCTCGTATTGTCAATAATAAAGTCCATTATAGCTCGTTCTTCATGACTGTTTCCTCACGTAAATATTGAAATGTGTTTTGACGCACAGATGATCACATCAATACAACAGAATTGTATCAGCGGTGACTAATATTCGCGAGTGTTATAATACAAAACGTAAATACCTCTGACATATACACAAGCGGTGTGTCAAAACAATTCCACGTGTCAGCTGGAGTGTGTCAATTTCACATTTGCCGATAGCAGTTGTCACGATTTGTGCTACAAAGACTTGTCAATAGCCATGTGGCTTCATCAACGTCAGTGTCCTTCGGCATATAGTCAGTGTTGGATGAATCCTTTCACAAAGCACTAAGGTGATCGTAAGTCACTAAGGTAACCTTAGTGCAATGTTACAGAATGAAGTAAAGGTTGCTTCGTGAAAGGAGCCCAAGGCTTGTTGATTTTAGTGATGGATCGTGTCCAGAAGCGTGGATATATGCTCATGAAATCAATCACTGGATTGTTTGGGCAAGACTAGATTACCTACGGACCAATTATGTAGCTTCAATATTGCCACTACTACTACTACTACTACACCACACCACATTACCGACACTACTACTACTGGTCAACATCAGCAGATGGAGTGTCTGTCTGGAAAGCTCAAGGTCTGTGGTTCGATCCAGGTCGCAACAAACCAAACTTCATGAATTATGCTCATGATATACAATCACTGGATTGTCTGGCCCAGACTTGATTATTTACAGACCCGCAGTAACATAGCAGTGGCTAGAATATTTCTGAGTGCGGCTTTACACAACAAAGAATGTACTACTAGTCCTCCTATCACAAAATGCTGCTGCTGCTGTTACTACTACTACTACAACTACAACTACTACTACTACTACTACTTCTACTACTACTACTACTTCTACTACTACTACTATTACGACTACTACTACTACTATTACGACTACTTCTACTACTACTTCTACTACTACTACTATTACGACTACTTCTACTACTTCTACTACTACTACTATTACGACTACTTCTACTACTACTACTACTACTATTACGACTACTTCTACTACTACTACTTCTACTACTACTTCTACTACTACTACTACTACTTCTACTACTACTACTACTGCTACTACTGCTATTACGACTACTTCTACTACTACTACTACTACTACTACTATTACGACTACTACTACTACTACTATAACATTACTATAACATAATATACGACTACCACCACTGCCAGTACATTCTGCAACTGTTGGCAGATCGGTATACCAACACTGCAAGTATTGCAACTACTACATGATCTGACTACTATTTGCAAATCATGCAAATGTCTTGTCCTCTTATAAACCCTGATAAATGTATATGTATGTATAATTGACCGACACATCCTGAAACTTGGGATCATGATTTTTGTATTATTATTTTTTTGCATTGCATTCCAGAAAACAAAATGTGGATGAATAATATATAATAATGACGAAGCTAAAATTAGGAAGAAAGTTTTGCCAACCTTCTCGATCGATTTCTGTGTATGTTACCCACAACAAGGAAGGCTAAATAATGATAAACACTCACATGACTCAGTAAAACGAAGAAAAAGAAGAACAACAACAACAACATCATCAACAACGACGATGCTTATTTTCTACATCTCTGCGTGTTATTCGTAACACCTCATATCACCGATGTGCCCTAATGCCTCTGACTGTGTAGTTTACCATGTTGATCGTGTGATTTATAACAGAAAACGCCAGCTGGTCTGCATAAAGCCAACAAGCTTCCGACAAGCACATATACCAGTCGCCGTGTTAGGCGGAACTTGCCACGACGTCACCTACACGTTCTGCTGCATGACGTGTAGATCAGTAGGGTAACACAGGTGAGTCACAGCTTCGACTGGAAGTTCCAAATTACTAGCTGCAACCCCTACTACTACGATCGCTGTCGCTACTTCTAGTGCTGTTACTGATATTACTGCTAATGCTACTACTGCTTTCTGTTTCTATTTGAAACACCATCTCTATTCCTACAGCTATTAGGGGCTTCTTCTGCTGTCAGCCTTGGCTCTATTGCTGTCGCTGTTACTACTACTGCTGTTTCCAAAGACGTTAAAAGATTGCACTTGTTGTTACCCTGCCTCGTCACGAGGGAGATAAAACATGGACTGTCTGACTGAAGTAACCGTGTTAGACTGCGGAACAAGTCAAAACATTGATTACACAACAGTCTCGTTTCCTGCTGGCTGAGTTCCGTCCTATTGCGCTAGTTAGTAAAATAACCAGTCCAGAATTTTGAAACAAATTCATTCAGTTGGATACATAAATATTAATCAGTATTATTTGATACATCTAAGCACTTGTATATTGCAATACTACGCTCCTTCTAATCCTTGCAAACACGTTGTGCAGCGTGCTTTGTCGTACAGCGTGCTCTGACAAACGGATATCTGGAAATCGTGGAAATCTCAAAACGAGGCTCTGCCGCTAAAAACGTTTGGCGATCTGCGTTACAAAATACAGCAATCACATTTGTGCGTTACAAAACTACACTGAATGAGCGCAAAGAACACATAACAGGTGTAACCAGTGAGCCAGATGCATTGTGAATCATTTTGCGACCTCATCAAACAGGGGCAGTCTGTGACGTCTTAGTTAAGGTCATGCTGCCTACACCTCGCCATCAAATATGGAAATACGATGTTATTAAAGTTTAAAATTAAAATTCATTTGTAAATACCATTTTCTTATGAAACAAGGAATTGGAATTCAGTGTAACCAAAGTTGTTTGTGGTGTCTCTTTTCATTTTCACACGAGAAAATTCAGATCGGCTGAAAAGTAGGTCATTGTCTGAATAGGTTAATGCGACTCGTGTTTCGGTTTGGGTATATTGTTATAGCAGCATAGTACGGCACTAATAACAGCAGCTACACAGTGCCGTGTTATACTGATAATCCAATATACCATTCCTCAGTCTAACACGGATACTTCAGTCAGACAGTCTTTGCTCTCTCTCTCTCTCTCTCTCTCTCTCTCTCTCTCTCTCTCTCTCTCTCTCTCTCTCTCTCTCTCTCACACACACACACAGTGCCGTGTTATACTGATAATCCAATATACCATTCCTCAGTCTAACACGGATACTTCAGTCAGACAGTCTTTGCTCTCTCTCTCTCTCTCTCTCTCTCTCTCTCTCTCTCTCTCTCACTCTCTCTCTCTCTCTCACACACACAGTGCCGTGTTATACTGATAATCCAATATACCATTCCTCAGTCTAACACGGATACTTCAGTCAGACAGTCCTTGCTCTCTCTCTCTCTCTCTATCACTCTCTCTCTCTCTCTCTCACACACACACACACACACACATACAGACAGACAGAACCAATTCCCCTCGTACGTGTAAATGGCCTCTCTTGCAATTGCACCCCAAATGCTCACACCAAGCGCTGTAGGGATCGTTGTCGACACACGTACTACATGTACGTTTTTCTATACAAAAATGTACCCAAACTAAAATCAGAATGCAGAACGGTACCATAAGACCAGTCCATTCTACATTGCGCTTAGCCGGTTGACTCAGAAGATGAAAGGAATTTGCTTTATTGAAACGTGCCCGGGGTAACGACCCTTCACGTTGCTCCTCTGTCAGTACCCGTGCCCCACAACGACCCCTTCAGGACAACCATTGCTCCTGGAGGAGCATGTAGTTTATAAAGCTGGTAGAGATTACATTATCATCACACCAAGCTGCTATCTTCTGCATCAATTAATGCACGTCTCGTGTGACAGACCCACAAGCACCAGGTGGCGCTGCAAACTTATTGAAACTGTCTATCACGTTTATCATTGTCAGGCGTCGCCAGTTGGTGCGGATCAGCGTGTAAACCATGGTTTCAACTCACAATAAACGGGCCTACAAAAAGGCCCTCGAAATGAAAAAGGCAGAGGCATCCTCCCGCCTTAGACACTGTGCGAGAAAGGTGGCGCTATTTTTCTCACTCCTCAAGAAGGTCATATTTGAGAAACTTCCTTTATCGTCTGCGTTGCTTCTGTTCAAGGCGAACGACATGGAGTCGGACCTTCAGAATGTCCAGAAGTCAAAGAAGAAGCGATGAATGTTCAAAGGAAGTGATCCACACATGGGCCTTACTGGCTTGAAGGCCCATGTTCACTTGAAGGCCCATGTACTACCTTCTACGGGTGCACCGTAGGATGTTCATCAACTGATTTCATGAACATAGGAATCACAGAATGAATGAAATATCATCAGCACCATATATTTCAAGTTTGGTTGATTCCAGATACACTGTTGAGGCGGGATCTGCATCAGGATGTGAATGTTTCTGTTTCCTCGGATAATCGATACTGACTCTGGCGTTATCATTACATATTTGATTATTTTTCGTGTTCGTGTTCAAGGCAAACAAGATGCACAGTAAGAGCAATAATCTTGTAAAAGACTAGAACAAAATCCACACAGACAGGATATTCATTAACAGGAAATGGAGCCTTAACTGTGAACCTGTGACTTTTTTACTGTAAATAACAGAAATTACATGTGGACATTAAGAAGAACACTTGCCTGAAATGTTGATTCCAGGGAATATGTTCAGCTTCCGGCGAGTAAATATGAATTCATGTACATGTATCGTATTTTGATAATGTAGTCAAACCGAATATGCGTTTATTTGTGTAAGTAACTGTTGTCAATCGTTGTCAAGTAGTAAAATGGTTCTGTAGTGGCTTCTAATGAAGTATGTAATTTGTTCGGTAGCCTCCTCCATAGGAAATATCAATAACAAGAAGATAGAAGAATGCAATCGTTTCCATGGTAGCAAAAAATAAATACTTATGACAGTCAATTATTCGATGATTGTAAACAATTAAAATATTGATTTAGTTAACAATAATTGTGGTTGTGATGCGAATATGATTTGAATGTAAATAATATATAAAGGTAAACACTACCAGAAGCGAAAGTCATCACAAAATTCAGTATGCTTAACGGAGCATTGGCTTCATGTTTCATTACAGTAGTGGCGAAACGTTTGTCAGCGTAGCCGAAAAAATGTGTTTTATTCCGATGATGTGGACAAGAGAAGACATTGTGGTAGCATTCCTCCCCACCACACCCCTGTCACCCCCATGGATATTGCTGAAATTGGTTAAATACCACCTATTTTCATAGTTCCAATGTTCATCCTAACGTGTCGGGAAAAGAAAGTATGCACAGTGTTTGATATGATACAAACAATAAATCGCCATTTAATGATGTGGTGTTTGATAGGGTTATTTTAGGGGTGTTTGGACCTTATGATTGCAGTGTTTCGGCAACTGTCTTAAACTTGGTTGAGTTTGGACAAGATTTGTAATTTCGATCAAGTCCAATTTTCATGTGAATACTTTCAATTTCACAGCCTGGTTCCCGGGGTTTGCTGCGCTAACGCTCCGACACTGTGACCACGGGAACCAGGCTGTCATTTTCCCAGCTGTAGGTACGTAAACACAGTTACATATAGACAGAGCTGAGTCTTATGATAAACACTGGTTGAAGCATACAGGACACCTGATACACAGATAGTAATGATTGAAATGTGCTGTTATTTAAATGCATGAGAATTGTTATTGTATACGTGTATATATTCCACTTACATAAAGTCGCTTATGGAATATGCGCGGATAGACACTTTATTTTTCACAACGTTATTACTGATGTTGAATAAATGTGTACATATGTCAATATAAACCTTTTGTATACTTGTACATGCATATGTTTTATTCATTATAAGAGCGTTCGACTTCTCGTACCCTTCTACCTGTGAGAGATGAATAACGACTTTTTGGTTGGGGCTGTGGGGTAGCCTAATGGTTAAAGCGTTTGCTCTTCACGCCTGCAATACTGTAAAAACGGTGTAAAACAAAACTCACTCGCTCACTTCATGGTAAATAAGGAGTAGAGTATAGATTCTCAGTGCCCCACGCTTGTGTGAGTGAGTGAGTTTAGTTTTACGCCGCTTTTAACAATATTTCAGCAATATCATAGCGTGGGACACCAGAAATTGACACCTCGTATCCATGTGGGGATTCGAACCCGGGTCTTTGGCGTGACGGTGTGAACCGACTTGTGACTGAATGTTGTCAGACGCCGCAGGTGTATCATTATAGTTGTAAAGTGCTGAGGAAACAACTACACAATAAATATTCCACTGAACCGAAAAAAGTACGAACGTAATCAAATCGTTGCAAGAATGAAAACAGTGCGAAATGAAAGGTCCGCACACAAGTATGATAGCGTTTCAAATCACGTACCACCATAGGATAACTTTTTTGTTTGTTTCATATTTGGCGATTATCAAGGATTTGTGTTTTGTTTCACTGTCCTTCAGTGTATTTTGGCGAAATGATAATACTCGAGTATTTTTCCAAATTATATTTAAAATATTTGTATTTTTTAAAATTTTCAATGTGTTTTTTTTATTGTCAGAAAGTCCCCTGCTACAAGATTGATGATCACTTCCAGGGAAAGAGTGACACACATTTATACAGTATGAAAGCGTACTGACAGAAATTCTTAATTCTTAAAGAAAGAAACTCTTGCACTCTAACCTTCATAATAATACTGTTGTAAGTTTAAAATAAACTGCTAGTTTTTACCAAGGGTATACTTAGGCTAGACTGATTGAAAAGTGGATGATAGAATGTCGTCTTTGTCTAAAGTTTATTGAGTATATTTCTGCGTGAGAGACAATATTTACCGATACCCAAGAGCGAATCGACAGTACAGGATCTTGTGGATTCAATGCGATGCTTATCTGTGTATAATCGCACGGTATTAAAGTATAGTTTGATGTTCATGCTTTCAACCACTGGTTTGCCTGGTCACGTGCACAAGCAAGAGGATTCCTATATGGACGTGAGACATATATCCCCGTGTCTATGGAAATAATTTATAGAAACGGGAATTTCGCCAAAACCCTCTGGAGGTAGACAGACTGTCATATCGAACAATGTCCGGACTGTCCCTGTGGTCAAAGGGTTTGGATATGGAAGCGTTGCCTCCCTTGCCTATTTCAGGATCCTCCGAATATCAGACCGGCACTATGATTGTGTTTGGTTCTGACGCGAACCAAAACCTGCTCACTCACTATCATATCAGGCATTGCTGGATTGGTGTAACGCTGTAGTGCGATGGAGTTGTTCGACGTCCACGATGTATGCTGGTGTTTTTGTGACCAAGCTGTACTTCCCCACGAGACAATAGATCACAGTGCCACTTTACTCTAAACAGCTGTTACTCGATCGCTACAGCAGTGCTGTTGATTATTTTAAATATACGCGATTCATCAACCTACATTCTCGTTTAAACGTCAATAAAACATGTGGGTTTATCACGAAGGAGTCACATATATAGAGGTCATACATCTGGCTATAATATATCTAAACACAGCCTCAGACAGTTCCTCCATGTTATCATAAATCATATTCTAATGCAACAACGATATACTTGGAATCTCCATGGCAACGTACTGTCGGGCATTGAAGAGCGCTGTTTCCGGGAGGACCTACACTTGGGGTAGGAGATCGATGACACACAAGATCAACCAGTCACAGGTGTGACTTGTGACATCAAGTTATACTTTCCGGAGTCTTCCATACTGACCATACAGTCAACAATGCAATTACCAATCGGGTTATCCTGCTATTTTGTGCCTATTCTGATTATAAAAGGCGACTAATGGGATCAGGTGGTCAGGCTCGCCGACTTGTTGACACACGTCATCAAAGTTATACTTTCAGGAGGCCTTCCATACTGACCATACGATCAACAATGCAAATACCAATCGGGTTATCCTGCTATTTTGTGCCTATTCTGATTATAAAAGGCGACTAACGGGATCAGGTGGTCAGGCTCGCCGACTTGTTGACACATGTCATCGTATCCCAGCCTAGATCGATGATCATGCTGTTGATCACTGGATTGTCGGGTCCAGACTCGATTATTTACAGATCGCCGCCATATAGCTGGAATATTGCTGAGTGCGGCGTTAAACAACACACCAACCAACCAACCAACCAACCAAACCATCTATTATTACTTCTGGCTATTGAGGGCGGTGGGGTAGCCTAGTGGTTAAAGCGCTGGCTCGTCACGCCAAAGACCCGGGTTCGCATCCCCACATGGGTACAATGTGTGAAGCCGAATTCTGGTGTTCCCCGCCGTGATGTTGCTGGAATATTGCTAAAAGCGGCGTAAAACCAAACTCAGTCAGTCAGTCTGGCTATTGAAATGTGTTCTGTGTGTGTAATTCTCGTCCTTGGAACTGCTGTAAACACATTTGTAATACATGTCAGTGGTATCATGTATCATTGAAAAGTAATAGTGATGACAATGACACCTTTGAAGATTTCACTCCAAACAATCCAGAATCTGTACAGGAAGTGATGAAAAATGTCAATGATTGAATTCCTTCGAATAAGTTCCAATTTAGCCCAGACAAATGTGTAGACCTATTTGATTTCAACATATTCACAAGTAAACAGATTGAGCACATGTTTTCTCGACATTGGTGGACCTCTCCCCAAAACAGTAATGTCATTAGCCTCATATGATACCACGACTGAGGTACATTTATGCACAAAGCTGGACAATATCCAAACAGTATAAACAGAGACGTGTTGCAGGAATCGATTTTACATATATGTAAGACTTTTAGTCTGGTGGTATATTTATACACAGTGTGAAACAACTGTACATCTTCGTTCAATCAAGATGGGAGCTCCTATTAAGCAATAATGACATATCGAGGACGAGCTTCGTTTTACAAACTTCATTTGTGCTGTTGCAAACCGAAACATGAGTCTCATGAACCAGTCCAGACAATGACCTAAGGGTTCTCGTGTGAAAGTGAAAAGAGACACTACAAACAACTATGGTTACACGAAGTTTCAATTCCTTGTTTCATAAGAAAACGTTTTTTACAAATGAATTTTAATTTTAAACTTTAAATAGATCGTATTTCTATATTTTATGACGAGGTTAAGGCAGCATGATGTTAACTATGACTACACAGACTTTCCTTGTTTGAAGAGGTCGTAAAATGATTCACAATTCATCTGGCTGACTGGTTACACCTGTTAGGTGTCCTGGTTACACCTGTTAAGTGTATTTTTGTAACGTACAATGCGATTTGATATAATACCAAGGTCGTACAAGACCGCCAAACATTTCCAGCGGCCGAGCCTCGTTTTGAGATTTCAAGATTTCCGTTTGTCAGAGCACGCTGCACGTGTTTGCAACGATGTAATGCTGCAATATACAAGTGATCAGATGTATCAAATAATATTGACTAATATTATTTATCCAGTTGTATGAGTTGGTCTCAAAATTCTGGACTGGTTATTGTACTATGTTGCGTTATAGGACGGAACCCAGTCAGCACGAAACGAGACTGTTGTGTAATCAATGTTTTGACGTTTCTTGCAGTGTGACAAAGTATGGCGTATCAAAGCGAACAAACCTCAGATTGTCTACTATGACGAATGCTATGAAATCATTGATATAATCCATATGGATTTTTCTGTTACTTGCATATTACTATGATTGACAGGAACTATGCGTCCGAAATGTCGCTCTTGCATCCGGACGAAGTTGTTAGCCTTCAGGGTGTTCTCGGTGTGTTGGTACCTACTTATCTCTTGACTGACAAGGGAGACCACCCGGGTTTGCTGACGCGTTTGTAGTTGCTCTTACTAAATACACTGCATGCTGCAGTGTCTATGAGTCTTTGTATTTGCTGGTGGGTCCGACTTGGCAGCACTGCGAGTCCTACAGGCTGTCTGGGCTTAGTGTAGGGCTAATGAGCCCAACGAGCGTTACTGTGGATCGACTGTTTGGTTAATAATTTTATTTTAACCTGTAAACAGCAAGATCTTTTCAGAACGCCTTTGCGCAAGAATGTGAGTTATCTGCCTTTGACCATGGCAGGCTTCATCGTTCTAGAAGTTTCTGGAACGTTTCTCAAAGGCTTGCCGTTGCCCTTTCGACTCTCTTCATTCAGTTGAAAAGTGCAGTTATGGAAACATATCTGGAAACACCGATTTCATCCAACTTCCTAAACTAAGTAGACCTCTTTCCAAACACTTACAGTGACAAAATTCTGATATTTCGCGACAGCACTGACATTAAAGCCAGGGCTTCTTGCTGCTTTGACGTCACCGACACATGTTATTACCTCTTTGATAGTCATTAGAGGTATACACTGAAGGTCACATAAAGTGAGTGAGTTTGGTTTTACGCTACTTTTAGCAATATTCCGGCTATATCACGTCGGATACGACTCCAGAAATGGGCTTCACACATTGTATCCATGTAGGAAATCGAACCTTCGGTGTGACGAGCGAACGCTTTAACCACTAGGCTACCCCCATCTCCCCAGTTTTGATAGTATGATTGATAGAATTTCTCTGTTAGCTTAATTCTATCGTCCTCTGTTCATATCAGTGTGCGAAATAGTTTCCAAATTTTGCTAGCCAGTAGGGATAACTATACCTGAAAGTTAGTATCCCACAAAATAATTCACTACCCCGAAATTTGAATGTAGAAACTAAGCAAAAGATTACAAAAATAGATGAGAATAAGATATAGTCGGCAAGACAAGGGTTTCATCATTAAGGTGCTAATATGATGAACATTTTTATCAGGCCATAATCTTGCATGATTTAATAGTGTATTATAACTTAACAAGTCGGAGAGAGTGATATATTTACAAAATGACCCCATGAAAATTCACTAGCCAGTGACTGTGGAGATTTGGCCCAACTGGATTTTTACTAGCCACGGGCTTGCGGGACAGTGGCTATTTCGCACACTGGTTCATGTCCCCTGGGGCCATACAGGATACACTACGTAACATTCGGCTCCTTTCACGAACCAACCTTTACTAAGGTTAACCTTAACTCCCACTCTTTAATGTTGCACTAAGGTTACCTTAGTGCTTTGTGAAGGGAGGCCCAGGTGTCACACACAACCTCCTCAAACCCCCACCCCCGTTTTGTGCGGACATACGTCATCCATTTGCGTCGAGATCGTTTAGTTGAGGTCAAAATCGGGGGTTTCAAGCGACTTGCGGAAATAACAGTAAAGAATTGGTAGGTGAGTGGTGATAGATAGGTCAACCATCCATGACATGCGATGGCAGCGTAGCGATCGGCAAAGCAGGCGGGTAGGGAACAGCGTAGTCTGTCTCACAGTCCCTGAACCACATTACTTTCCCCACTGCCAAGCCCTCTCTGCAGTGCTAAAGCCCTAAATAAAGCAAGTCTAGATTTCCTCAGGTTCTGAATCGCTGGTCTCCCTGGGGCTCCTTTTCAATTTAAATGGGCTTGTTTGTTACTATCAAAATTATATATATTCAGAGACTAAGCATTAGTCTAGGAACAGCGAAGTGTCCGGCCTTGTCATAATGTATCGTGTAGCATTTCGAGTCGGGGTTATCTCAAAAAATATATATTTTAAATCTTTAATCTTCGCAAAGTCACGAGGGTCTGTGGTATGTATGTCATCCCCGGGAGCGGCTCATGCTGTTATCCACTGGTTTGTTAGGCCCGGATATAATTATTTGTAGACTGGTGTGATATATCGCTGGAATATTACACTCTGCGATATTAATCGGCCTTCACAATGCAAACTAAAGTTTGACAATTTTAAAAGTTGACCAGTCGACCAAACATCACGTGACAATTTCGTTGACTGCGATTGGTTGTTTCTGAACAACACTTCACACGTCAAACTCTAGTTTGACATCACCGAAAGTTTGATGGAAAAGTTGGTGAGAATGGAGACCGACGAAGGCCACATTACGATTCATACCCAATTTAGTTCAACATTGCACTGCAGTCCTGGGGCTCCTTTCACGAACCTACCTTTACTAAGGTTAACCTTAACTCCCATTCTTTAACATTGCACTAAGGTTACCTTAGTGACTTACGATCACCTTAGTGCTTTGTGGAAGGAGGCCCAGGAATGGCAACGTTTTTTGCTCGACTGTTAAATAAAAAATAATTGTCATTTTACGATATCAATTCACACAGTTTCTTTCACGTTTTTATCGTTTTTCACGCTTTCCTTGACATTTGGCAGTTGAACTTGTCAAAACAGCGTTCCACGTCTATGACAACAATGGACCAGTCCGTGTTCGAGTTTCACGTGCAACTCGTGAACGTGAATGTGCGTGTGACGTCTGTTCGTCGAGTTTGTGTAGAAAGTTCTGTGTTCGGAAGCGGAATTGTACACGCTCCACAATACAGTGGGGAAATCAAGGTATTTGTTATTTCTTTTATATTCCGAAAAGGATAAACATCATGGTTGACGTTGGGACTGTCAAAAGCAGCAATTCTCGCTTGTATTCTCGGCTGCCTTTTGATACCAATAGTCCAGGTGAGTTTTTGCTTGTTGTTTAACGCCGCACTTGGTGAGTGAGTGCTTGCTTGCTTGCTTGCTTGCTTGCTTGCTTGCTTGCTTGCTTGCTTGCTTGCTTGCTTTGCTTGCTTGCTTGCTTGCTTGCTTGCTTGCGTGAGTGAGTGAGTGAAAGAAATTTATCACTGTTTGATTTCAGAGCATTTAACCGATAAATAGAATGGATTCATTTAGCCTATAATGGGCTCAGTCTACAAACATCTTGGTTAACGATATACCTATTCTAATCCTTCAGAATATTCATGATTTAGCGTTCTTGGGCGGAGTAGGTACCTGTCTGTTTTATATGCCAGGCTTTAAACGGTTGCCTCCCTTTGACTCAAGTTGAATGCTAATTGCGTGACAACGCAAAAGACAATGTCAACAACGGCAGAGGTGACGACTTGAAGCTTATCGATGTGACAATCACCGGTATTGAGCAAGTACGATACCACTACACTGTGGGACGGCTACCCGTAACCCCACGCCCTAGTTGAGGGGGTCAGCGTTCGAGGGGCAGGATACCATGCCTACACTCTACCACCGTTTCCCCATCCGCACCAGACATCGCAGGTAGGTAGAAGGGAAGGAGGTTTTCCTTGTAGGGGGTACTCGTGGATACTTGTATCGATCCTGGGGTCAATTGTTGATTTCCGTTCAAGCGAAACGAAAATATGTTTCATTGTGTAGGTTACATGACACTTTACCCTTAACTGGATATTTTATACCCTACCATCAGGGGCAAGGGTTGAATTTAGTGTTTTATTTGCAGGAAAAACAACTTTTATAATGTGGTTAAAGTTACTCTGTAACTGTAGATGGATGTATGTCACTTTGTTAAAAGATAATGTCATTACTAAATGAACATTAAAACTTATGAAAAGATCATATTCACTGTATGGCTGAAATAATAAGTCCTATTAGGCTCAGATTTACTTTTCATGATTAAGGTATGACATTGTCAACATGATTTGGGCGGTGGGGTAGCCTAGTGGTTAAAGCGTTGGCTCGTCACGCTGAAGACCCGGGTTCGAATCCCCACATGGGTACAATGTGTGAAGCCCATTTCTGGTGTACCCGCCGTGATGTTGCTGGAATATTGCTAAAAGCGGCGTAAAACCAAACTCAGTCAGTCAGTAATTTCAACATGATTAGTTGGAAGAAGTGAGATGCTGGGTGGCATGCAGACCCTGAAACAAATGAAAATGAAAAAAAAGTCTCCTGGATTCTTTTTGTTAGATTTGAGAAATATATTTCTTTGAAACATTTATTTCAGAGACTAGATTTTAGTCAAGGTATTGATCTGTTGCTGATCAGTTTCGGCTATTGAATATGCCATTTAGTTTTACAGGTGAAACTTGAGACTAATTTTGTCTCATTTAATTCATCCTTGGTTATCAGTGTAATATTTTTACTGTTATATCCTCACCCAGTTATTTCTGTCCATTACACCTGTGTTTTTTTTAATATTCTATGCCTAAGAATAGATTTCTTTAATAAAAAACTTAACCTGAAACCTAACCCCTCGAAATAATCATAATAAATAGAATAGTGAGTGAGTGAGTTTAGTTTTACACCGCACTGAGCAATATTCCAGCTATATGGCGGCGGTCTGTAAATAATCAAATCTGGACCAGACAATCCAGTGATCAACAGCACGAGCATCGATCTGCTCAATTGGGAACCGATGACAAATAAATAGAACATAATACGGAGGTTAAGGGCGGAACTCTTACCATTATTATCCTGGCTTCCATTGCTATTACCAATGTGTGCACTGGTCGTCCTTGTTAAGTGTCAGAGGTAGCCTAGTGGTTAAAGTGTTCGTTTGTCACGTCAAAGACCTGGGTTTGATTCGCCACATGGGTACAATGTGTGAAGCCTATTTCTGGTGTCTCCTGCCATGATATTGCTGGAACAGTGCTAAAAGCAGTGTAAAACTCACTCACTAACTCATTCACCGTTGTGTCCACCAAGGTTGTCTTCTTGTTTCCACGTGTTGTACATGTACATGGACATACATAGCTCTCTGCCTCCCATTTTTCGTTCATCTGATGGAGTTAAGATATATTTTGAAATGATGTGTTCCTCATATTAACGCTGACATCCATAAATTCCCTCCCCATCTTTTGGTTTTCACTATTATTTTATTAGAATATTATTTTCAGTTGTCAGTTTATTTCCATTAACCTTCTAAATCTCCATGTTATACATCAAGGTAATGTACTGTGTGATCTGTCTTGTGAACTGGGCAGCCAGTCTGCGAGGCCCTGACTTGATACATTGACAAGGTATAATACAACTGTAACGTGATGACAAGGTTTGTTGAACTAAGGGGAGATATGACTGATTATACCACGGGAGATTTAATCATTTGAGGTAATGGATAGAGGTCCTTCTCGAGTTGGGTGCACACTACCCTGGTTGCCTCGATATATAAAGCCATTCTTGATGGTTGCATTGTATCAGAAGGAAATACCTACCAATATGCTGGTCTCCTCTTTCTGTTTAGCTTTTTGTGTCATTGAGGGTGTTTAGTCAATCATTGGAAGAACACCAAATTAATTGTTTGATCAGTGTTCTAGAACTGTTGAGTAAATAACAAAACATGTCAGCTTGTGTATTGCATAGAGCAACATTTTGTTGTAGATTCTTACATTGTTGTCAAACTGAAGTGGATATCTTGATAAAGGTGTAAGAATCTACTTTAATATAGTTGTCTGCCTCATTAACACTCAATCAGAGGTGAGTAATCCAAAGTACTGTCACAAACTCTAAAACATTGCAGCCAGCCAAAGTGTATTTTGAAAAGACATTTGCAAAAGTGTTGGTCATGAGATTTGTTCTGTAAGTTTAATCAGTATAAATAATAAAAAACCCTCCAAAGTTCGACTCTTTAGAAAGTTAGTTAATCAAAGGGGGATAACTCTTTAGAGACATTATCCAGTATGTTTTCATTCTATTCTGCTGTTTAGCAAAATGTGAAAATTCAGCTTTTTTAATACTGGTATCTTAGAGCTTATGTTATCCTAACAGCTAGGTATACTGTTTTCAGTGTGTGGTTTGGATGACATGATTTTGTATACTGTTTTCAGTGTGTGGTTTGGAGGACATGATTTGGTATACTGTTTTCAGTGTGTGGTTTGGAGGACATGATTTGGTATACTGTTTTCAGTGTGTGGTTTGGAGGACATGATGTGGTATACTGTTTTCAGTGTGTGGTTTGGAGGACATGATTTGGTATACTGTTTTCAGTGTGTGGTTTGGAGGACATGAATTGGTATACTGTTTTCAGTGTGTGGTTTGGATGATATGATGTGGTATACTGTTTTCAGTGTGTGGTTTGGATGACATGATGTGGTATACTGTTTTCAGTGTGTGGTTTGGATGACATGATGTGGTATACTGTTTTCAGTGTGTGGTTTGGATGACATGATTTGGTATACTGTTTTCAGTGTGGTTTGGATGACATGATTTTGTATACTGTTTTCAGTGTGTGGTTTGGATGACATGATGTGGTATACTGTTTTCAGTGTGTGTTTTGGATGACATGATTTGGTATACTGTTTTCAGTGTGTGGTTTGGATGACATGATTTGGTATACTGTTTTCAGTGTGTGTTTTGGATGACATGATTTGGTATACTGTTTTCAGTGTGTGGTTTGGATGACATGATTTGGTATACTGTTTTCAGTGTGTGGTTTGGATGACATGATTTGGTATACTGTTTTCAGTGTGTGGTTTGGAGGACATGATTTGGTATACTGTTTTCAGTGTGTGTTTTGGATGACATGATTTGGTATACTGTTTTCAGTGTGTGGTTTGGATGACATGATTTGGTATACTGTTTTCAGTGTGTGGTTTGGATGACATGATTTGGTATACTGTTTTCAGTGTGTGGTTTGGATGACATGATTTGGTATACTGTTTTCAGTGTGTGGTTTGGATGACACGATTTTGTATACTGTTTTCAGTGTGGTTTGGATGACATGATTTGGTATACTGTTTTCAGTGTGTGGTTTGGAGGACATGATTTGGTATACTGTTTTCAGTGTGTGGTTTGGATGACATGATTTGGTATACTGTTTTCAGTGTGTGGTTTGGAGGACATGATTTGGTATACTGTTTTCAGTGTGTGGTTTGGATGACATGATGTGGTATACTGTTTTCAGTGTGTGGTTTGGATGACATGATTTGGTATACTGTTTTCAGTGTGTGGTTTGGAGGACATGATTTGGTATACTGTTTTCAGTGTGTGGTTTGGATGACATGATTTGGTATACTGTTTTCAGTGTGTGGTTTGGATGACATGATTTGGTATACTGTTTTCAGTGTGTGGTTTGGATGACACGATTTTGTATACTGTTTTCAGTGTGGTTTGGATGACATGATTTGGTATACTGTTTTCAGTGTGTGGTTTGGAGGACATGATTTGGTATACTGTTTTCAGTGTGTGGTTTGGATGACATGATTTGGTATACTGTTTTCAGTGTGTGGTTTGGATGACATGATGTGGTATACTGTTTTCAGTGTGTGGTTTGGATGACATGATTTGGTATACTGTTTTCAGTGTGTGGTTTGGAGGACATGATTTGGTATACTGTTTTCAGTGTGTGGTTTGGAGGACATGATTTGGTATACTGTTTTCAGTGTGTGGTTTGGAGGACATGATTTGGTATACTGTTTTCAGTGTGTGGTTTGGATGACATGATTTGGTATACTGTTTTCAGTGTGTGGTTTGGAGGACATGATTTGGTATACTGTTTTCAGTGTGTGGTTTGGATGACATGATTTGGAAAGGTTTGATCCTTTTGTTACATTTGATAGAAGATGAAATAGGTGTTGAAACAATTTTAACCGAAGTTAAAACATCAGTTTTATGAACTCAAACCAAATTTATGCAAGTGCAATGGTTACTTCATTGACAACTCAAAAGCTTATTAGTTGCTGTACACTTATTTAATCTCGTACAACATGAATCTCAGAAGACAAATATCACATACTATTATGCTTGAGGGGGCGGTGAGGTAGCCTAGTGGTTAAAGCGTTGGCTCGTCACGCCGAAGACCCGGGTTCGAATCCCCACATGGGTACAATGTGTGAAGCCCATTTCTGGCGTCCCCCGCCGTGATGTTGCTGGAATGTTGCTAAAAGCGGCGTAAAACCAAACTCAGTCAGTCAGTCAGTCAGTACTATGCTTGAGATATGTCAATGTCAGATTAGGCTCATGCTGTTGTAAGACACCAATAATCCATAAATATATCACCAACAGCATGTGTAGTGGACCCTTCGCTTATCTATATGACATTTCAAGTGGGGTTTCAGATTAGAATATTTATGTGGTGTATACAGGACACTTTATGGGAAAATCTGAAAGACATAGGCACAGTTGCTGGTTGTTGTATAAGTTAAACGTGATTTTTGTAGTCATTTTGAAGTGAACCAATAAGGTCCACATAAGTACATAATGTTAAAAGTATAAAAAAGTGTTTTGTATGAGAGGTCATATACTTTGCATCTGTGGATACTATTAGACATTAAAACACTATGGTTTTCTTTTTTGTGGTTTTATTG